GCTGCAGTGTGTGGGCGCGTCGCGGAGGTATACGGAGTACGGAGGTCTTGCGGAGCTTCCTCGTAAGCCGCCCTGGTAATAATAGTAGGTCACACAGCTTGGCCGGCGTTTCGGAGTTGAGTTTGTACGGGTTGCGCGCAATGTGTCGTGATCGCGTGTCTATCGTGGAAAAGCGAACGTCAACCTTTCACCGGCGCTGGCAATGGTCGCGGATTTGTTTGCAAGGTTTCGCTGCTTGCCCGTCGTCGAAAGATGGAGGCACGGACCCAAGTGCTGAGGCAGTGCCTACCCCGATCCTGGACAACCTGCTGCAACCGCGCCCCTGGGGTCTCGATATATCGACGAATGATATCGGATCTCCTTGGCCGTATGTCTCAAATTGCACCACGCTGCACGCACGCGCGAATGCTGCAAACTACCCTACTTGCAGCGACATTACGCGGCGCCACGTTGTGGGGAGAGATTCGGTGGAGACCCTGACGTTGCGCCAAGTCTGCATGCTGATACTCTCAACAACGCTCTTCATTTCTTTTGCTAGGGCCTTGTTCTAGAATACACGAGTCCATCCATCAAAATGTTCGCCATGCAATGCGCAACACTGTTAACCTCCTGTTAGTACCAAAATACCATTCGGCTTGCCGGACTGCGCCAAGTACCGACGGCTTGTAAGGCGGGCACACTACAATTTCTCCCAGCCCGGTTCGTGCTGCGGCATGTTGAACTCATCGAAGATGATCAGATCTAACCGACAGAACGAATCTAGAATTTTGCTCATATATCAAAGTGCCGAGCTCATCAAACTGTGCATCTGCTACACAGTCGAGAATGTGCATTTTGCAAGTGCATCGACATGCTTCTTCTGAAGAGTTGACGTTAGTTTTGACGGTTAGGACTATACGGATCGTTGGTAGAGTGAGGCTGTGGCTCGTTCTCGTTCACTCGTATGTACTCATGGCGCAGCCGATGCGCCCAAAATAGCACCATGTATTCGTGGCCTGTAAATCGTTGCATATCCGCCCCAAGGCAGTGTAATTTCTTGATCATGGTACCCGCGTACAGTGACCGCGGTTTGAAGACTACTTGGTAAGTAGTTTCCGTCGAGTTATCTCACTGTCACAACAGACCGTAAGTTCGGAAAGTAAACGTCTTCAATGTAAAGTAATCAATACAGCCATGGCCAATAGCCAGGAGGTTAGGGTGATGATTTACCGAGCATGCAGATGGTTGGTGTTCCACTAATGAAATTTTCCAACCGTCCCGCGGACATCCTCCCCGCCCCGCCCACCATACTTCCAGTCATGGCAAACTTTATCCTGGAAAGCTGTACTACCATGCTCTTGAGCCGGTGATTACATTACTTGCAATACAAAGGTTGTTTGTGGACTGCTTTCCATCGAACAACATCACTAGCCCGGCTAGCTCAATCGGTAGAGCGTGAGACTCTTAGTCTTTCACGGTCTAACAGACACGATTACTCAGTACATCTCAAGGTTGTGGGTTCGACCCCCACGTCGGGCTTGTACGTTCTAGCTTTTTTGTTTCGATTCCTTTGGTCGCTTCAGCCCTTTTTTTGGTGTTGAGGATGTTGGTGGATGGCATTTCCACCACCACAGCCTTTTTACCCCACCACCACACTCTACAAAACCGTATTTGCATACCAGAACTGTGGCGACTCTGCTCCACGATATCATTGTATTTTTATTTGTTTTTGTTTAGTCTGTCATTCATCGCTCGCACCAATTCGACATAGGCCGCAGTCCTCCCGCGTCCTACAGACCATAGGAATACGACCCCATTATTCGAGATATACACAGCAGATGCAACTCTTGACATCTGCGTACATCCTTGTTTGTTCTTTGGATATATATTCACAACATATGTTCTTAAGACTAATAGTCTTGCAGTGTTCCAAGTTTCTTAGACGCTCACCGATAACCACTACAGTGAATCGTCTACACAAGCCGACGCCAGCGCGCAATCGAGTCTGTTCTCCTTCTACTGTCACATGACAAGCACATTACACTTGCGCTAGTCTTAGTCCAAGATCCACACTGCTTTCTACGTTTCGTTTTCCTTCCACTTAGGCGCCTACATCTCACCGCAGCAATCCATCTCCGTCAAGTAAACCATCATGTCGGCGGAAAACAGCATAATCGTCAAAAGATACGACCAAGAAAACACTTCCCGCGGCGTCATTCATCCCGATATCCTTGCCCGTCATTGTATCCTCGACAACGGCTGTCATGCTCTCGAACTCGACTACACCACCGCGCCCAGTCTTGGCTTACTGTCAAAATTACCAGTAGAGTTGCAGCAGCAGATCATCTTACAAATGGATACTGCTACTGTATTTGCGTGGAGGCGAGTCAACAAAAGGGCAATGGACTTGGTCTCTAACATGTTTGAGTGGAAAGAGGTAGGAAACGATTCACTGAGAACATCAGACTGGAAACTAACACTGCACCAATAGGTCATCTCACTTGCTCCGAGCGCCCTGAGAATGATCATAGGCCTTCGCTCACAGGCCACGTTCGGTCTCGCTGACCTGCACAACGCGTTTCACTACCGTACCTGTGTTACCCAGGGCTGCGACCCCAATACCGCACAGTACATCAACATGAAGAGTCTCAAACGTCTCTGCCGCAGTTGCTTCCAGTATCACGCTAGGCATATTGAGTTCACAATCGAACTTGCATTGGGCTATGTAGAGCTAATCGACATTAATTATTTATTAGGTAGACAGACTGGCTATATAGAGGAGATCGACATAGATAAGTTATTAGGTGCACTGACTTACCGTGCGGAAGAGAAGAAAGAGAGCGAAGATACCAAAGAGGAAGATAATAGGCCATTCAAGGTAGCCGTTACTAAGCGCATAGCCTTCGTTTATATAGGCACGTTGTAGAAGTGAGATTAAGTGTTGCAGTAACAAAGAGTCAAGGTATCGGTAGCGGAGATGCGGACAAGCGGTAGGTTGGCGGTTTGGCTTGAGAGGAAGACGCTTCACTAGGAGATGACGGAAGCTGTATCGCCTTTTGCTGCATACACACCATTGCATGTCAACGAACAAGTAGTATATGAGATAACGTATACTTCAACCTACGTTATATCCATGGAATCTCTAACGCGAAAAGATTTTGTCGTCTCCTAGTCCCAAAGTAGCGACTCGCGCATCGCACGCCGAGGTGAAGTAGACTTCTACGTCACCACAACTTTGGCAAAAAGATACCTTCCCAAGCAAGTTTGCAAACAGTACTATTGCCAGAGCAAAAAGAGCAGCAAAAAGAAAGATAATAGATTGGACATGGCGAAACTCGAATCCGCGTCTCCCTGCAAGCTCGCTCGCCTTTAAGCCAGTACAACCGCGTACGGGCGCCTTGCCATACTCTGTTCTGTTGAGTCTAGACCACATGCCCTTGAAATGTATTTGATGACTAATCTTAGGATTGAATGAGATATAATGATAGTGAAAGAAGAGGGGATTGGGTGGGTGGAGTGGTGGTGGGTCGGCTTCACCTGGACAGTATGTAGCGCTCGTCGGTGTTCATGGTCTCACTGCTTGCTTCTACTGCATTCTCGACGCAGTTGTTTAGGTAAGCTTTTAGATCAAGCAAGGTATCGGACATTTCCTGGGGTAAGAAAGCGAGTTGTAAAGATGGTATTGCTTGTGATACTGGCATGACGTAGTAAACGTGAAAGTCTTGGTCTTCTTCATTTCACCAAGTTTCTTTGCTGTACTCTTTTCCATTCTGATGAGCTTGTGGAAGCCTCTCCGACTGGAACCGTCGCATGTTTGCTGAGATATGCGTAACGCCCATACATCGCGAAGTTTTACGCGTGGAATGGTTTTTCGTCTTCTTGTTTAAGCCGCAATGGCTGCTGTTTGTACGCGGGTATTGAATCTTGGATAGCGGAGTCGCGTTTCTTCTGGGTTTGGAACGGGGGTGTTGAAGACAATGCATGCTGAATCTGTCGCTCTTGTAAGTTGGTACCTTGATAACAGGTAGGAAGAAATTTACCGGTAAATCAAGGTCTCTAGGTCTCCCTTTCATCCAGCAACCTCTGAACTGTTGCCTTCAACTCCTTGAAATTCATCTCCAACGTCCCATAACTCTCCTCCAAATCCTCATACTTGTCCTCCAACATACAGACCTTCTTCTTTAGACTCTTTTCTCCCGTGGTCTCCTTTTTTAACATCCTGTGACTTGTCTCTAGCGCGTCATAGTCTCGTTCAACCCCTCTGATTCTATTCTCTAGATCATCGCACTTCCTTTCCCACTCTTTTTCTACCGTCCCCATCTTCTTGTCCGCATTGGTCGACATGGTCGTGCTGCTCAAGTGTCTGCGTAGGTCGTTGGCGTTGAGGCAGGAGCTGTGAAAAGGTATACTGATGGAGGGCAGTTAATAAAAGTATTGAGACAGTCTGAGCGAGTCGCGGGGTATCGAAGCATTATATATGTGGCAGTGGGTTGAGAACCATTAGCGGGGAACGTACCAGGAACCCATCCCCAACAGACCCCTCAACAACAACCAATCCAGTGTCGCGCATCTCGAAAGGGTCGCTCCGATTACGTGTTGACTTTAGGAACAAGCTCCCTTCCAACGGGCTCTAGGTCATTCTCATTACAGTAATGATGCGCAGTGATGAGACGACCCATCCTTGACGAAGACCAGGCCTGGATAGCTCTAGTTCCAAGACATCCTTGTGCAGTCATTCCATTCAAAGGCAAATCTGAAACTCTAAAGCCTATATTGACTTTAGGCTATCTGATTTGCATGTATTCATCTTAGTGTAGGCTGCAGATCTGTTCAGTTTTATATCTGTACGAGGAACACTCAAACGCATCGTGGATAAGGACTATCAGTGTGTAAGATGCCAGGAAAGCTTACATGAAAAGTCATCTCCAAGACTAGCAGTACAGAAAAAGTGTGCCTGGTGCATATCGAGAATACCATCGCGACCTATTTCTTCGAAGGCTTGAGCTCATCTATTCATTGAACTACCCGGCCCGTCCAAGACGCAGTTCTAGCTGCCATATGCTACCCGGGTAGTATTCCGTGATACCTTGACGTTGCTTAAGGATATTCTGATTTGCCACCATCCAATTATGAACTTCTCTCAAATCCACTTCGTCTCCGAAATTTTCATGCATATCGCTGATGATGTGATCCAGTTGGATATCGGCTTGTTGCAGTGCCACGCACGTGGGGTTGTCCAATGGAGTCCTGCCGAAGCCGTACTTAAGCAGTGGTTGATACATATGCCTTGCAAGAGTGAGGGCTGCATCATATCTCCATCGCAGGTCACCGTCGGGTTCCTTGATCTCAATGAAGTCGATTTCGTTTACGAGCATGTTTACGGTGGGGCATATGTCATATGGCTTTACAGCGAAACGATCCTGCACGTATCGTTCATAGACTTCCATTTGCGCCTTCGCTGCACTCGGGTCAACCTCGCGAAGTTGAGTGTATCGCAAGTCTGTTCGTTGCATTAGTACCGTAGCATGACAGATAAGCTCCCAACGGGTAGGTTACTTTTGTGTAGACCTTGCATCTTGAGAATTGTGTAAGGGTCCGTGTTGATACTCGCTGTGAACGCACGCCAGCCTTCGTGCTGAGTCTTTGCTACTCGTAGATCTTCGCGTAGCTGACCGATCTCATACAGGGCGCGCTGCAGCTGTTGTTGCGTATCTTGTAGCGTTTGACGCGTCTCAAGCAATTCTTCTCGCATCGCGGTGCCGCGCGTATCATATCCATTCTTCGTACATTCTTTGCGAAGATGTCCGAAGCCGCTGCATCCGTAACACTGTATCTTGGCCTTGTCCGGGCAGTCATCCATGATGTGGCCCTTCTCTCGACAATGGAAGCAAGTTGCCAATGGACAATCCTTGACCCAATGTCCCTGGGCGTTACATTTGAGGCATCGGCCGCTTCCAGGAACAACTTCGCCGGCGTAGTCGTTCAAGCCTGGGCTTGAAGAACGTGAGCATGGAGGCGAGCTCATGATGCTGTCGCGTGCTGCGTGGGAGTGTTCGCGAGCCCTAACAACCTCCGAAGGAAGAGTGCTTGCAAAATAAGAACTGGGTACCATATGCGCCATGCTTGCTCATGGATAGATGTCTTTGTAGGAATTCACGTTGTGTTCGAAGGGTACGCCTGAGGGACGACGACGACATACCCACCACATCGCAGGCGCGACGCGTCGCGTTTTAGAAGACCTCTTGCATGCCACGTTAGCGCCGTGCAGGCCACGTTCGCGCCGTGCCTGTCACGTTCGTGCCGTGCCTGTCACGTTCGTGCTCGTCACGTCCCGCCGACTAGGCTTGAGATAGTTTAGCTGATATGGAATGAACGCGCATGGAAGTATAAATGCATCCGGCTTACACCGAAACTGAAGATCAGACGAACTCCCGAGGTCTTCGAAGCTTCCAAGGTTGAGCTGGTGCAGACACTGCCCAGGTGGTATATAGCCGTTGTGACAGCATCTAACAGGCTCCAAGACGCGCACGGAACACGAAGAGATATCGTGTCATAGATTGCGCTTCGTTGCTCAAAAGCATACAAAGGTATTGAGATTGCAGAACATGAAGTGAAGGGCCGATGTGGACGTCACGGTGGAAGATAGTTCGCGCTAAATTCTGGGGCTTACGCGAAAACCTACGACTACCTCCAGGGTATCTTATACCCACAAGATACTAGGAGTTAGGAAAGCGAAGAAATGCCACAGTAAAGAAATGTACGAGGGTGTTCAGAGTGTTTGCTGCAGGCGGCCCGTGGGTGGTTTCCACATGTGAACTAGCCTATCACATGATCGCGCTAAGGCATCTGGCGCGGACGCTGGAAACTCCGCTCCTCCCCGACGCTGAACACACACTCCTGTTCGCAATATGCTATCGCGGGTATATATGCCGCTACCGAGCTCAGCACACGACTGCCGCAGCAGTTGTCTCTGGCATCTTCCTGTCCTCCTTGGATAATCGTTTATCCCGCGGTCAGACGCGTCGCGAGGTGCGCGTGTCCAGCTTGCGCCTATGGCTTTCGACTTGCTCTTGTACCAAATCAGCACTGATCTCTAGGTTACCTACTATCATCAAGAACCTTGGCAATTCATAAGTACCGACACGTGTCACTACGCTCAAACATGCTGTTGCCACGACTGCAATTGTTGAACCCGACTGGAACATCTCCCATGTGCTATACTCCCGCCATGATGGCGAAAAATGAAGCCATCCCAACTCACCGTGCAGATGTTCTTTGTGTACTTAAGCTATACATAGAGCTTCGGAGGGACTGACAAGAAAGGCCGACACTTCGCTCTGGCATCAATGTCACTTTACCTGACCACCACTGCGGCGCGTTCGCACAGCATGATCGCGTCTCTCACCAGGCATTTACTCTCCGTATCTGAATGCATGCTATCGAATGGCGTTCTATCACCTTTTGCCACTTCTCGGACAAGTGTCGCAATGGTCCACGTATCTTTTGGTATCTCGTCTATCACCCGAGGACTCCAGTTCACGCTCTGCTCCTTTACCAGCTGGCCTGACTGCTAGCTCTACGACAGGTATATAAGCAATCCCTTCGAGGTTTCAGCTTCCTCTTTCCTCCATCAGCCTTTCATCACCCCAACCTTGCTGTCTGGTCCACGACATCTGCCAAAGGATGACTGCACCCATTCGCTGAATTCCCTCCACGTCCAAGCATTGCTTCAATCTTCACCATGGCGTCCGAACCCATGCTACTCACCTCCGCCCAGTTCTCGAAACGCTTTCTGGAAATCAAGAGCGTACCAAAGTATGATGCTACCCAAGAGCAGAAGGCAGACCACGATTGGTGGATCCTCGACAAGACAAGCGTTCAGGTCACACTGAAAGAAATCGCCGAACTTGTACAGAGTGCCATGAAAGGGCTGCCCAAGGACGATCGAGAGCTTGAGCACCTTTTGAAGGCCATTACAAAAGTTCAGCAAATCGAGAAGAAGCCCCCCATCAAGGTAGCTCTTCTGGGCGCTCAAGGTGCCGGCAAAAGCTTGCTTATCAACGCGCTATTCGGCATTGATGGTCTTTCCTTGACCGGAGCAGATGGAGCGGCTTGTACCAGCGCTATCGTCAGGTATGCTCAATACCCCAATAACGAAGCCGGCGACCAAATATTTTACGCCGAGATCAAGTTCTTGAACAGGGAAAAGATGGAAGAGATGCTCAAAGAGCACATCAAATCCTACACGCAATACTATGACGATCTCGACGACTCAGATGACGAGGAAGGCCCTCGCGAGAAGTCATTTCAACAGGACGAGCTTGATCGCCGCATGAAAGACACAGCAGAAGACGTTTTCCTGACTATCTTCGGTTCAAGAGAGCAGTTTAAGGACAGTTGGAGTACGAGTGCCTACGAAGAAGGCGAGTTTATGAGTATATGCCAGGCAAAATGTAGCGAAGCCATGCGCAAGTACGATTCTGACTCCAATGGGGTGCATGGCGTCCCCGCTGGCAACGCAACGGAGTTGATGAGGAAAATTAAGCCATTTCTTACTAAGATCAAGGGCGAGCCATGTCTTTGGCCTTTGGTAGACTCCGTCACTATTCGCTTGCAGCACGAACTTCTCCAGCAAGGTCTCGAGATCATCGATCTTCCCGGTACGTATTCACTCACAAGATGTCAACTGTCCAGTCTACTAACAGATTGATAGGATCGGGCGATACCAACTTGTCAAGAACTCGACACGCTGAGGAGATTAAAGCGACCGTCGATGTTGAGATCGTTTTGGCTGACACGATTCGGATCACGACCGACGATGCTATCATTCAAACCACACGATCGGGTATTCTTCATCATGGTCCATCGAACGTCAAAGTTGTAGCTACCAAAATTGATGTAAGTTCTTGGCCCACGCTACGCAACACTTTGCTAACACCTGGAGTCTATATCGGACAATCAGCTCAATCAATGTACCGGATCACTCTACGACGAGCTGAAAAGGCTTATGCAAGAAGCAGACAACGAGGCAGCGGCTGCAGACGAACAAGGCGACGATGAAACTGTAATGCTCATGTCGAGATACAAGCAGTATGTTGAACGTCGCTTGAAGCTTACGAAGATCCGGGAGCGTGCGCAAGACATCTCGACCGAGCTTGCTGCAAAACTTGGGGGCCGGTCTGATAGCGATGATGTTGGCGTTTTCCACATCTCCGCCGCTGACTACATGTCATGGATCAAGTCGCCCAAAATCATGTTCAAGGACCAGCCTGCTCTGCAACCCAACGATACCGGTATCCCAGGTCTGCGTCAGTTTCTGTTCAATCTTCCAGCTCAGCAGAACTTAAGCGACGTTGATACTCATATCAGAGCCGGAGTTCCTGCTTTCGTGGAGAAAGTAAGAAGGGTATCGACGCAGTCGGACCGCGATGCCGGGTTTCGTACGATCGCTGACGAGTTCGACAAGCTCCGTGGACCTCTCTTGGTCGATTTGATAAACCAAGCAAAGGCGGTCACCCATAAGGTTTTCAAAGACAGTATCGTCAAAGTCCGAGTTGACGTGAAAGGCTATAAAAAGGAGGTCGATACTGTCTTGGTGAAGCGTTGGTCCATCATTCCCACCACCACTTTCAAATTGGTGCTTCGATCTCGGGGAACGATTCGTCCAGGTGTCTCTCAGTCCATACACCTCAAAGGTGGGTGCGATTGGAATAAGCACCTTGCCACTACCCTTGCCCCGGGATTCCGGAACTGGTGTCTCACGTACAATGAACAGACACAACCTCTCAAGAAGGCTTTACGGGACGCTATCGATCTAATTTATCAGAAATCAATGACGGAAGTAGACGACTCCGCCGCGAACATACTGATTATCGAGAAAGCAAAAAGCAAGATGCAGAAGATGCGTGCAAAACTGGGAATCAAGATGAAAGCTCTTACAGAAGAGATTGATAAGACTGCGAAGGGTTCTCTGTACTGGGCCACTATGGAAGATGAGCGCAGTAACAGCCTTGTCTCCTGCATCACCGACGGTATCTTCGACCAGGTCTTCAACTCGCTCCCTCCGCTTCATCAACCCAAGCGAGCTGGAACTAAAACGAAGCAGAAGTGGGCAATACCAGTTGGCAAGTTCCAAAAAGCACTTTTGGCAGACCTGATGATCAAGCCTGGGGACCATTTCGTGGACCGCACCATTGAGTACTTCGAGCAAGAGGTCGTTACCAACATGAACCGGGTTATCGACAAACATTTCGGAGACATCAGCGCCCTAATGGATCATTTCAGCAACATTCTTCGAGAGCAAGCTCCCATCGACTATCCTATGACGCCGGTTGGCGAGGCTATACGCGCTGATCTAAAAGAGCTGATCCCCACCCTTGAAGACAAGGCTCTTCAGCTTCAGAAACTCCTCCCTAATACCATCAAATCAGATAATGAGACAGCTCTCGTTCCTATTGAGAGATTCTCTGATGCCAAGGACCAGGACATCGATCTACAAGCGCTCTACACAAAAGCGGTCAATCTCGAGAAGAACAGCGATCAAAATGGATCTACCAAGCATAAGCCGAAGCGAGGAATTGAGACTTCTTCCAAGCGGATGAAGCTGGAGTGAAGTCCACGTATCTTGGCTATACCCTCCAGGACCAACTCTTGATCATCTACTCGTCAACCAAGGTTCCCACGCATTCGGCAATGTGTCTACGCGACAACGGGATGGTCGTGGCTACATTTCATCCTTTTTCTACTTCAGACTCTCTGTTAGACAAAATTCGGAGCCATGCTGCATGGTAGCCTTTCACATTGGAATCACGCCGCGATCGCCGTGCAGGCGTATGCAAAGTATCATTTAGGGCGTGTGCTTCTTGCTTTTCTTCCCGCGTTCACGATGTCTTCTCTCAGCGACAGCAGCAATTATTTTTGCGAGTTCTTTGGTTCTATTCAGCAAGTGACTTTGAGCCCACTCTCTGGGTTCAGTCCATCCTGCGCAAAAGTTTCTCATAATCTAGCCATCTTTCTTACGTACTCAGTCATAGCAACATAAATCACATTCAAGATACCAGCATACCTTTGCCTCTAGTTTATGGTTTACGTGATCAACCCGGTCGTCCACTCGATATCTCTAACTCGATGCCTCTGACACGCTGCAATCATTCACGCTCTTCCAGTGCACATTGCAATGTTTGTCTGTTAAGAGGAATTGAGAGGGATATAATAGTAGTCGCTAACAAAACTGTGTATGTATCCAGCACGCAAACGAGGAAAGGAGAGTCAAAACCATACAGTACACCAACAGCAATCCGCATCTCCTACTCCAAACACAAGGAACACCAGTATCGTATATCCACCACCCACCTCCCACAGCCACCATGATCCTACACACAGACTCCTACGCTCTTCCATCCACCATCATCACATAATTCCCCTCTACGCGCCATCCCCCCACAGCCCAACAACCTGCATCGCAAACGCCACGCCCGCCAACCCCGTCTTAACCCACTCAACCACCTGCTTCCGCTCCACCGCCAAGCGCACCTGCTCGCCATTGACCTCATCGCCCTGCGCCTCCAACTCCATAACCTGCCTCTTCTCGTTCCCGCCCTCGGTCAGACCAACCGCATAGTCGACACCGGGTCCAGACACAAACGAGAAAATAGATGTGTACAGCAGATACGGGTGGCGGAAGCGGGCGGGCGAGAGACAGTAGGCGGAGAAGAGGGTGAAGGTTGTTATGTGGCGGAGGTAGGAGGATAGGTTTGTGGATTTGGTGGTGAGGTAGATTAGGGAGGTGCGGGCGTTTATGGCGGTGGGGAGGGCGAGGAGGGAGGGGAGGGCGATGGTCGAGACGGTTGCTGAGACGCCCTGAGGGGAGTGTTAGTTATCTGAACAGTGTCTTCTGGGGTTTGTGCCGGGGGGTTTGGTATAGGGAGGCGTGGGTTGGAGCTCTGATAGCTTTCAAGCGGGGAGCTTGGAGAAGTGAAGTGGCGGGTGGTTGACTTACAGTTGCGATTCCCAGGGTGATTGTTCCGACGAATTTACATATTGAGACTGTTTGGGCGGCCATTGTGATGGTACCGTGAGGTTTTTGCGAGAACGAATTGCTCTGTCTATCGCGCGGGTTCTTTGTCGTGGAGTTATCTGTTGGCAATGCAGGTTGACGTGCATGCAGCGCTTGCAAGATTGCGGAGATGCTGCGGGCATCATCCGGAGCAGGCTGTCATCTTTCGGAGAAATCGGGATGGCCCAAGCTTTCCCTTCCAGAATGCGGAGAAGAGCACATGTCAATCAGTAATCATAGGCCACACGCCCTATAGAAAGAAAGATGTTGATTTATTATCAGGACGCTCTTTACCGTACACACGTTTCACAGTCTTCCAAACCTATGAAATGCATTCGATGCGCGCAATGTATCGCCCAGGGCGGATCGCAAGCATCAAGAGAGTAATCTCGCCAGTCGTACCTCGGCTTACAACACCAACGCGTATCCTGCACGCATCAGCCGGGGCTTGCGGCCGTAACTTTCACACGACGTGAGCAACCTCAGCTACTTATACTCCACTCCATATTTGTACATCCGCTCGGACGATAACTCCCAACGTCGTCACCTGCTCACTCACCACCGCCAGTCCTGCACGCTTCCAGTCCAACGACCCCGATAGCACAGAACCTGCCTGGAAAACACCGCGCACGATGCCTATGGAGAAGTACCAGTTTATGAGCAATGTCTGGAGGGATGGCATCTTTGGTATGTCTCACGTAGGCGTGGACAGGCAGACTTGGCCTATAACCACTGCTCAAACAGCCCAACCTCTCCATCAAAGCTAACAACCACCCCAGACAACAAAGTCGTCTTCTGCACCGGCGGCGCCGGCACAATCTGCTCCGCCCAAGTCCGCGCCATGGTCGCCCTGGGCGCAAACGCCTGCATAATCGGGCGCAACATCGAGAAAACCGAAAACATGGCCAAAGACATCGCAACCGCGCGCCCCGGCGCCCGCGTCCTCGGCATCGGCGCCATCGACGTGCGCAAACCCGAACTCTTGCAAGAAGCCGCCGACCGGTGCGCCCGCGAACTCGGCAGCCTGGACTTTGTCATCGCAGGCGCAGCCGGCAATTTCCTCGCGACCATCGACCAGATCAGTCCGAATGCGATGAAGAGCGTTATCGATATCGATGTGCTGGGGAGTTATAATACGGTTAAAGCGACGCTGCCGTATCTTAAGGAATCGGCGGAGAGGTATAGGACGGATGGGACGACGCTGCCGGCTAAGGGGACGGGTGGGCGTATCATCTTTGTGAGCGCTACACTGCATTACACAGGTACACCGATGCAGTCTCACGTCTCCGTCGCGAAAGCAGGTGTAGACGCCATGGCTATGTCTGTTGCTATTGAGCAAGGCCCTCGTGGCATCACATCCAACATCATTGCTCCTGGACCCATTGCTGAGACTGAGGGTATGGCGAGGTTGTCCAAGTCGGATGCTAAGAGTAAGGTGGCGAAGGCCGTGCCATCTGGTCGCTTTGGAGCTGTCAAGGAGATTGCTGATGCGACTATCTATCTGTTCTCGGATGCGGGTAACTTTGTTAACGGCGAGACGCTTGTTGTGGATGGTGGCGCGTGGCATACCGCGGGCTTTGCGGGTGGGTTCGAGTATCCTGATTTCATGCTTAGTGGGGAGAGTGTTACGGGGGTTAAGGGCGGGAAGAAGAGTAAGTTGTAGGGTGGAGATGTAGAGACTGGTAGACGTGAAATTTGAAGACCGGTTTTGCCTGCCACAAGGGTGCTTGATCTTATGGGTGGTGTTCTCTAACAGTACCGTGGAGGTATTCAATAGATCTTGTGGTCACATTCGCCTTCGTCTAACGGTGATGTATTCGTCAAAGCGTCTTTAGGTAATGCGGACAACCCTTTCAGAACGAGTGTCTTTGTCAAATAGAGTAGTGAGACTGGTACTTCTCACATGAAATTGCATCTGAAGCGTACGTGACCCGGCCATGTAAGGTTGTATTGCTTTCTCTTGGTTCTCCTTACTCGTGCATAACTGCTCAGGTCTTCAATGCTAATATTCCTACCGCAGATAACTAGGCAAAGCGACCCTGGAGATATACGCTGCGCCTGTCAATCCGCGAAGCCATCTGCACGAGTGTCGTGTACATGGAAGCTTTCGGATCAGCGACAGAAGCTTGGATGAGAGCCCGGCTCAACAGTAGCGTATGTGATAATGATGAGGCTGTACTTGGTCTCCGCGGGTTCGTAGACTGACGCAATAGAAGGGTATGTATGCGTCTGAGTATAATGTATGATGCAATATATGCATGATAAAAGATGATGTATACGTCTGTTCCGAGGAGTGCTGAGTATGATTCAGAGAGGACGTGGCACAATGTATACATCTATGTTGCGTGTAAGATATCGCGTACATAGGCAAGCCTCTCTGTCAGCGTCTGATGCCAAACAGTTGCATTCCTACCTAGAGCTTCAGCCTTTTCGACATTTTCCTGAAAACAAACATGTATACCACGCCTGGTCACAGTCCTTGTGATGCTGGACCAGGCTGACACGGAGGTGTGCAGGCACGCTCGGGCAGCACTAAGTATCCCAGCTGTTGTATAGCGCGCGGCCCACTCCATACCTCGGAGCACTATAGCACCGGGAATCGAAATCGAATCTCAACGACTTTTGGACCAGGTTCGATAGCTCAAAACGGAATGAACCTTGTGTCAAGGCTGTAGTGGCTGAGCAAAAGCAAAAAGTATCATCGAGAGAGATCATCAAGTATCAGTGCTGCAATCTCACCAAACGTTGAGAGACTCATCCAAGGACCTACCTCCGCCTCGAGCCTTGGGCGTAAAGGCGGACGGACGAATATAGCAGTCAATCTCTCAGTAAGCATCGCGCCCCAACATCCAAGCATCGGATCGTCGACTAGGTGTATTTTGAGTGTGAGATCATCGACCCTGAGCGGGAACCCATCTCGTCGTCAGCACATCAAAGAAAATCTCACACTTCCCCACGGATCAACATGCCAGCACATCGATCCTACCCAGTGATGCCAGCCGCACATCAAGGCATCCACGAATAAAACCCACTCGTTACCAACTTTGGTCCCGCGGAATGACGAAATGGATTGCAGCACCAGGTTTGGAGCGAGTGAACATCTTCATCTGCGCCCCTTGACGAGCCGCACATGCCAGGCCTGCGCTCCAGTTTTAATACAAAATGCGCAGCAACGGCTTACCCTGCTCCCCTGTCGATCGCACTATCGATACCCAGGGGTGCTCCTTCTGGACTGGGCTGGTGGTGGCTGGCCATGCATGCGTCATAGCCCTTTTTCAGGAGACAGACGCGAGCGCGCGGTGCCCGGTTAGCGAGATTGAGCAGGTTTGGCGTGTTTTGGGACTGGCGTGGGCTAAGACGCGTGGTCAAGCGGTGGCTTGCGGGTGCTTGGCCGGCATCTTCGCTGCGGTGGGTAGGGCCGTCGAAGTGTTTGGCTAAAGGTCGGCGCGCGTGTTTGTGTGGTTACTGTGGTGTTGGGCAATTCTCGGAGGGTTTAGGCTGAAGTGGAGGGTTCGTAAAAGAGATGAGGAGAGATAGGGTGAGTGAGCTTCCGAGGG